TGCATAGACGAGCATAAATAATGACGTCACAATGGGAATTCGTGCATAAATTAGCATAAATGAGCGTCCATGGCCGTAAAGAGGTTAATTTACATGAGGATGACGTCGCAATGTGACATTGTGAATACATTTGCATACATAAAATTGATGTGAATACGAGGTCGTGTCGAGGTCATCGTGAATACATTTTCATAAATTACCATCAATTTTTTTATTATTATTATTTTTTAATTGGATGTTTTAATTATTTTTTAATTGGACAGGCGTGGACGAAAGATTTTCAGAATGCATCGTAGAGGGCGCTCACACACACACACACGTTAATAAATACACGTCATTTTGAAAACTAATGGAGTTTATTGCACAAAAGAAGTAAACAAGAATGAAATATTGACATGGAGTATATATTTATGACATGGTTGAGTATTTTTTTAACGTCACAAAAAAACATACGATGTGAGTAAGGAAAATAGTTGCGTAGTGTATAAATGTTTAGCGTGATTAAATATTTCTTTGTTAACACCTCGAAAAATACGTAGATACATGTAAATGTGCGGCGTGGTTAAATTTATTTTTAATGCCACAAAAAATACGAGTACATAAACGATTCGATTAAAACACAGAAACGAGAAAAGCCAATAATAGTAAACATTGATCAATAAAAAATAATTCATTCTATATATACATATGTTGTTTATTTTTACATTTCTTACTTCCTTTCAATGAGTCAAGCAGTCTGTACACTTTTTTTTTTATTCCATCACTATAATCAGAATCGCTCATCTGTCGTACAAGAAAGAGAGAGAGAGAGAGGATAATATTAAAAACCGATAGTTATATAAAGAAAGTATAAGTTATGTGTTGAAAATTTAATAGTATGAATTATCCCGTAAAACTGCGGTCATCAATCCGCTAAAATGCAAAGTATGCAAAATCGGTTGATCGACGTACAGTTTGTTTTTCAAAAAATGGCGGACTACGCTACTATGAGTTAAAATGTATAATTACCTGATCGTTTCACAGAATAACTTTTGACATACATAATCATCACACGGAATGAGTTTACGGTGTAACGTAGCGATTTTCGTTTTTCCCCCCGACGAAGAAAATATGTCCTCGCTTCTTGCCAAAGATTCAAAGGCGGTAGACCAAGTTTGACCTTCCGTGAAAAGTTCATCTCATGGACACTACGAGTCATACAGGACGTATTGGCAACACATGGCTTGAAAGTATTTGATGATTGTAGATCCACGTACGAGAAATCTTATAAATTCCATGACATGACTACCGTACGAGTCATAATAGTCTTCGTGGTAAGGGTACTGTAAAATGACTAATTTTCACTGGGTTTAAATTTCACTGATTTACCATTTCAGGCATATTCAGTGGGTTTTAAATTCACGGTTTCGTCATTTAGATAATGTGTTCTATGCTAAATTTTACATATTCACTGGGTTTTAATTTAGCGCATTTTCCAGTCAGCGAAATAAGCTAAATTAAAACCCAGTGAATAATTAACCCCTTTACAGTATTTCAGACAGAAAGTGGCCCAACGCGTTCCACTCGCGAATATCAACGGTGTTTGATATGAGCGATGTGTATCATTCCGAAGCACACTTGTGA